CTATTGGTTTGACATGATATAATGTCTTTAGGTTGATGGTGGTCATGAATTGATTGGTAGTGATAATCTGGAGACCAAGTTGGTTCAATTAAGTTCAGCTCTAACAATAAATTGTGTGCCTGATGATACTTTGGCTGTCCTTGATCAAACATCATGAATGGATCAACAGAGGACTTGACCATTGGAACTGATCCACTCCAATTTGTGAGTGGGGCTTACTCTCCAATGGGTTCAAATTTGCCTTTGATTTCAGGTTTGATTTGATTTGGCACTTTTAAGGGTCAGGTGGGCAAGTGAAAGAATATTTTTCTATAGTTGTGATCATCAAGTGCGAAAGTATTCAACCCCTGTTTCTTACTCTGATGATGCTGGCAAAGTAGATTATGTTGATAGGTCTCTGGTGATGGTAGAAAGCGTTTGGGTGAATCTGAGCTCACAATTTGTGGTTGATCATCAGGTGTCAAGTTGATTGCTCTATGTCATTGGTGAGCTTGGAGAAGATAATTGATTTGAAGGTGAAGCTTATTCCTGTGTGATTGGATTTGTTTTTGAGTGGTGTTGAAACTGAATGAAGCTTGAATAATAGGCTCTTAAGCCCTATGTTACGCAGAAACACAAAAGAAAAAATCACCAAAGAGACACAACAAAAAAGAGGAAAGATAAAGCAAGACAACAGTGTAGTGGAAACAATCAAAAACAACCTGAGGAATTGTGCTCTGGAATTTTTGCAGGTAATGTTAGGTATACCACTATCTATAATGAATCAACACTTTCAATTACTAAACCTCTTAATGCAATAGCTACATTACTTGGAGATTCCTTCTTGATCTTCATTTGTTTCTTACAACCACTTTCTATTAATTCTGCTTCTGTAGATTGTGATATTAAACTTTCACATATGTCTAGGAAACCATTTGATAATTCAGGAACTGTTCAGATTCAGTTATATGTCTAGGTCCAACTTGAAATCAAGGATGGTAAGAGAGTAGAAGGTTTAAGTTCATGTGATATTATGATCTATAAGACTGATTTCAAAAATGTATGTCCAATGACCTTCAGTTGTGTATCTGAGACATTTGAAGTGTTTGCACCTATTGATTGAAGGCAAATAATATATGTGTATGTCTTCAAACTCCCATGAATACAAAAAACCTGATGATAAAAAATTAGAGATAAAATTGTAAAAAAAAACCAACCACACAGGGTTGCTGGTAGGATGAGTAAAGCCACCTCTCAAACATCATCATTGAACTTGGGGACCGTCAATGACACTTGCTAGTATTCATTTATAAAAAGGGAAAATATAACACTAAACTGGAACTTCATAAGCGGTGATACACCCCCTGAAGCAGTGATACAATCCCTGCACTCACTTCAAAAGGATGGACAAAGTGTGAGTGAATTTGTTTGATGATGATTGACAACCCTTCCAATGCGCCTGTTTTGTCTTCTAGAGTTGAAGTCTTGGTATCAAATGATGTCTCCAATCATGAACCTAGAGTTGGGCTAAGTGACATGAAATCAAGAACCAATGAATGCAATGAGATTTGCTTTAGAAAAGGATCAGAGAAAATTTGAATCTTACAATTGCTGTTCTTGATCATGATGATGATCACAATTATCATCCAGTTCACTTATTAAAAGTTCCAGTTCCTTGGTCACATACTTGTCAGATTGTCAATCAATCAATCTAGAAATTGTTGGATTTGAGCAGGCTGGATACACTTTGATAAGTAACACAAGCACAGGAGAAGTTTCATCTTTTCATCTGTTGTATGTTCTGAGGTTTATCAAAGCAAAAAATTGATGAGCAACATGAGAATTTCTGAGATGAGTGCGAGCTAATTTATAGAAGTGATTGATCTATGAATCCAGTGGGTTCAATCAGATAAAAACCTGTCTTCTTGAAGTACATTAAGTACAAAAATGAGCCATTAAGCTGTCAGGGTATGGAAATAAAGGTCAAAGGGTTTGGAAGACTGACCAAGATAATCCAAACAATTGTACACTCTCTCCTTGAGTCAACTCGTTTTGTGATACAACAATTCACTATTCAAGACCTTGTCGGCTATCAGCTTGAGCTTTTTTCCAAGTGCTTCTTGTCTCTATAATACCAAAATGAATCCACAACCTAAATGTGCATCTCTGTTGTAACTTTCTGAACTGCTGGTATCATCATCCTTGAGTGTAATCAAAACAGAAGTGGAGCTCCTTCCGCATTACTGTCAGTCGATATGTTCATTGCTTTGTTCAAGGTCAACTGTTTATCTAACACCAACTGTGTTTGAGCTTCTTCAGGATCGATGTTGTCTATCTCACATTTCCAAATCAAAATAACTTTCAGTTTCAGCTGTTTTAACTTTGCCAAAGTAATGAATCTTATTGTAGATACCTTGATTTGGTACTGTGCTTCCTAAGATTTTGAGATAACTCTTTGTTACTGGATTATCTATCACCTCTGATTGTTTGCTTGAATCAAGATTTGTTTGATTGTTTGAATCCTTGAAGTTATCTTTAGTCACATCACCTCATGGGTTGGGTGGAACTCTGGCTTCCCAATTAAGAGTAGCAAAGACAGCACCAGGATTGATAAATCAAAAAGTAGAATCAGAATTGAATTAGTGATTTTAAGCTAGATGAAGAAAATGGATTGAATGAAGAACTTACCATCAAATGAAGTCGATCCATTAATGAGTTCAAAAAAAGCACAAAAGCATCTGTGTATTGTTCAAATCAAAAAAGAATCAAACATCAGATCAGAGAGAATGAAATCGAGAAAGAGATAAATGAGTAAACTCAATCAGTAATCTGTTTTGATATCAGCGTGGTGTACAGCACCCAATGAAAGTAAATGATCAAGTTAATCTACAAGTTAATGTACCATTTTGGTTATATGTTCAGGATCCCTAGAAGTACAAACTTCTAAAGAATTCAAAGCTGATAATCAAACCAGTCCTTTCCTAAGATCATCTCCATACCATATTCATTTTTGAGTAAAGTTAATGATTGAGTCACTGTAAACATCATTCAACTTCCCCAATTTGGCAGAGGAAAATGATTAATAGTACAGTTTTTCATAAAAGAATCTAATACTGCACACCTGGGCCATTTCACCCACACTACATATGTGCAGCAAGCTAAGTCAATAGTTGTCTATCATGTACATACAGGTCTGCTCAGTTTTTTGCCCATCAGAATAAATAAATCACATGTTATACCACATGTAACTTTTTCGACTTTGAAATTTTTTTCCCAAAAATTCACTACATATAATTCTGTAGCTGCTCAGGCAATATTGTTGAAGCTATGTCTTAGTAACAGAAAGTGTGTTACATGCAGTTGAGTTGATGAGATCACACCAAAACATTGAGTCAGTGTATGTAGTCAATCTTTTGGAAGCTTTTTTCAATCTGAAAGAAGTTACAGCATGTATTACATATGAATAACTTGTCCTGATGAGCAGATAACTGAGCAGAACTGTATGTACATGATAACCACATATTCACTGAGCCTGCTACACATATGTAGTGTGGGTGTTATGGCTCAGGTGTGGAGTGATAGACCATTTTATGACAAATCATACTCCCAATCATTTTTCCCTGCCCACTTGGGGAACCCGAATAATGTCTGCAGTGAGTGTCATTTGGTTTTGATTTGATCGGTCAAATTAGAAACCAACTGAGCACATTTGAATGCAATTGAAGGGATAAGATTAAGCAATTGAGTTCAGATTGACAATGGGTATCTGATACATTTTGAGTTTTAAACCAAGAGATTCATTCAAGTTGATGTAATTCCCAAGAGTCATGAAGGCAACCATTGAACAGTGTTCAAGTTGAGGTTGTTATTTTCAAAACCAATCGTTCGAGTAATTTATCATTGAGATTTGCATGACTTAAAAGATTGGATATACCAAGAATTGAATAAACTGTGATCCCATATGGGTGTAGACAGGTGTAGGGGAGGAGATGAACTTTTCATAGTAAACTTGAGAATCCCTCATGATCATCTGATCCAAATGGTGTACGGCCTACAACAACCTTATACATAAGATGATATGGATTAATAGATTAGAACAAATACTAATAAATTGAATTTGATGATTTGTTTGATCACCTTGATGTTTTAGAGTGGTTCATGTTTCTTTGATATTTCTCTCTTGATGGCCGTTTTGAGCAATTTGATGATGGGATTGATTGATCATTCAAAGATACAATATTTTGATTGGATTGTCTGTGGTCTTTGATCAGCTGGGATGAGGAACTGATTGATAATTGATAAAGAGAGTAAAGTGTCAAGATTGAAGTGATTACCTGATTGTATTTGATGATCGAAGTTGAAGTTGAAGTTGAAGTGGATTGAAGGATTGGATTGAATGGAGATGATGTGACCAGGTGATTTGATGGGAGCTTGAATGAGGCGAACGCGTGAGCCAGCGATTTTACTCAAAGGACATGTAAACCTCCAATTTGGCAGTACTGATTGGGAGTTTTGTCGGGTTTTGCCGTCAAACACGGTTTGCCTTTAACTTGAATGATCGATTGATTGATTTTCAAATTTCATTCAATAGACACATTTGTTGTAGTGGTTACCAAACACTCAAGCAGTGGTCAAAAGGTCAACAACAGTCCAAAATGATCGTTGTTGACCTTTTTGGACAAGTGTTTGGTAACAGTATATTGAAAATCCTACCAAACGGGCCCTTATATCTAATTTCATGCTTGTAGTATTTCATATATATTCTAGTCTTCTCCAGAGCCTGTTGTTGTTTGAGTCTTGATTCTGTTTTATTCTTCTGTGAAACACTGTCCTTGGCGTACCACTCTATCTTATCTCCTTATTCATCATACACATAGAGTGCTGACTTCCACGTACAGCTGTTTTGTGTATCATCAGATTGTGGAGCATATATGATGGTACCCAAGGTGAAAGAACAAGATACTGAGTTGTGGATGGAACAGGACAAAAACCAAGGAGGTGAAAGAGTAAGAGAGTGGTCATCACAGCTTGATCATCATTACCAGGAATCCCCCAGGCCCAGTGTTGAAATTGTCACAAACTACTGATTGTACTCGGGAAACTGAATCTGCTGGTTTACCAGCATAGTGATACCCAACAAAAGTTTGGAAGCTAGGTTTGTTGCCAGCAAGGTAGTGACCTTTTTCAAAGAAATGATCCAACCTGTTCACCAAGGTCTCGTTTCCTCCATGAAGTTTGATCAAATATGCTGTATTGTTTGGTGCATAGAAGGAATATTCCCAAATACTGCTCTATAGATACAAATTGTTCCGACTGGTAAATCAGGATCATATAGACACATAATCATGATTAAAAATCACAAACCTCGTAAAATCCAACTTCATTAGATTCATGGAGCAAACACGCACGGTTTTTTCAGTATCTTCAGGTGAGCAAGCTTTGGGGTCAGTATAAGCATATGATCTGTTTGCAAAACACTTCTGAAAGAATCCTGAATCCAAAAAAAATCAATCATCAGAAGTCATTCCACAATAGAGAGAAAGTGGGTTAATCCAACCTTTGAAACCATCACTGGTGACTGTAGGATCCCATATATTTTGATACCATAATGACTGATTCTCATGTTTATGAGCATCTTTGAGGTGATTGAGAAGCTGGGCAACCTGACTGATTCCAAAATTTCTGAAAGCGTACTGATAGGAAACTGAGATCAGCTCTAGCACGAGGTTAAAGGGTTATTGATTTTGAGAAGAGCTTACCTCCAAGTTTCTACTACCTTCACAAGTCTGGCGACCAGTACTAAAGGCGTCCAAGACTGTGTAAGGTATATATTTGTATTGTCTGTCACAGATATTGTGTATAAGCCAGATTGATTTCAAGGAACACTGAAGATAACAATGGACAGTAGCACAACTTATAAACACATATTTCTTGACCCTCAACATCACAGCTGTGTCATCCCAACAAACACAAGTTCAATTTCAAGATTGCCCAATTGATTCTGAAGAGATTTACTTACATTGCCAGGGTTTGTTCTGCATCACTCACAAGTGCAGTGTACATCTCTTGAAGGTCCACCCCAAGACTGGCAGCTTGCCAAGAGTACTTCAAGGCAAAGTCTGCAAGAATATTGGTACCATCACTACCTCCTTGAGTCCAACCAGGAAGGATCTATTGAATACCCATATGAAACAGTAAAAATTATGTTCTTAGTGCTGGGTTCGCTCCCTTGAGCAAAGGGTAGTGCAAAAAGATGCTCATGTTTGATTGGCATTCAGGAATGACTCTGATAGATGGGAAAGATCAGGTAAACCCATAGATTATTATACATATCAATGGATTCAAGATATAAAGGACTTACCCATTCTTCCACGATCCATCACTGCAAGTTTCTGCTATCTGGGCATTTTCTACTGGCAAGTGAAGATTCATCCACAGGTAGACAGTTTGAGTGGTGTCCCTGAGGTGTATAGAAATGTCAAGGGTCAATACTTTGGAAGGTACCCTGATATGAGTCTTGTTTGCCTCACCATGAGCAATAGAGTGAGTCAAAATATGGCAATGTTGTATTGGCAAATACACCTGCAGACACCAGATTCAATGAATTATGACTCTTTCTTGCACCTAAAGCTGCAATTTCTGAGGACCAAATGTGATCACATACCCTGAGTTTCACCTGTTGCGTTATTTGGAGTCATGAAAGAGCAATACATGCTTGAATATCTGAAGAATGTCATGAGTATAGGCGCACTGGCAATCAGCATGGCATGCAATTGACCTCAAGGAAAGATCATGACATTACATCATTACAGCAATATCCTCTTTGGTGTCTTTGAGTGGAATATTGAGGTGGCCTAAAGGCTTGCTCCATTGTTTGACACTTTCTGCTCAAACATCTTCGAATGTTTTCTGATCCCCAATCTCCTCTTCACACCAACAAGCCTGATATGCTGACACAAACAAGACTCCAACTTGGGTGGTGATTGAATTTACACCAGGTGGGTATGAAAAGAGTGCGCCCAACTTGTAATCACCCTGAACATAAGTAACAGGGATATCCAGAGTGGTTTGAACAATTCCCTTTGAGTTCATTCCAAATCTGAAGAAATACAGTGTTTAGTGAATCCCACAAGCAGACAATGAAGGTGGAAATGACTGACTTGTCCGCTTGCCAAATACCCCATCCACTCAAACACCATGTAAATATCCGTGTGGCACGTCGACGTGCACACACGGAGAGTTTTGAAATAAAACTCCAAGTCTTTTGGTCGAATTTAGACTGAGATTGTTGTTGAGCACCCTTTGTGCTTTGTGATTTGTTCAAAGGATTTGCAGAATCCTTTGTTGTCAGCAGGGGTCAACTGACTTTCAACCTCCCAGGTGATAAGGGGAAGATGTGCTTGTTGTGGCACCTCTTTGATGGGTTGTTACAGGGTCTAAGGAAAGTCTTTCGTGTGTGCACGTCGACGTGCTACAAGGATATTTACATGGTGAAAGGTTGTTTGCCGCCTTGAGTCAAATCATAGCAGGCAAAAGCTTTATACCGGCCAGAACCTGGTGCAAAGCTATCAAGAAATGAATCTGAGTAAGAATACATGTGGAAGACCTTATTTCATTGGAATTCACGCACCAGGCCACCCATCTTCCACCCAGGGTGATACAACCTTTTTTCGGATCAATTTGCATTTTACCCCCTGTTGTGTGTAATGTAAAGGGATAGGTCAGACCAAAGGTTTCTGTAGGGCGTCAAATTGATCTTAATCTTTTGACGCATCAGCAAATGAAAACAGAAGGTCATTGGAGAGGTCCAACACAAAATAAGCTTTCTGGTTACCGGCAGGTTCAGAAGTGAAGCATTCCAATCCAGCACGTCAGGTAGATGTGGCTTCAAGCTTGACCTTTGGTGAGTCAAGTGTTATAGCAAAGTACCCAGGATATGCCTCTGTTACCAAGACAGATTTTGATGGGTGCAGAGTAAGACCAAGTGAGATGATAATTACCACAGATTAATCAGCTCTTGGCCACATTTTCAAGTCTTGGTATGAGTGTTCTGACCATCTGAACCATTCACACACAATCTCAACCTGTCCTTGTACTTTGTGACCCAAGTGTTGAATCCATGTGGACATTGGGTGGGTAATAGCTGAAAGTTTCCATACGAGCTGAATTTACCATAAGCTCATCAGTCACCATGACCAACATGAGTATGCAAGTGTTTTGGTTGTGACTCACCCTAATGAACTTCTGGTTCCAGAATTGTGCAAAGGACTCAGACCATAGATCCTAGCTGTTGAATGAGCCAGATAGCCTAGATAACCAGAAAGGTGGTCAGATGTGCATTAAATGTAGTAGTCTACGGCAGTGAATTCAAGACCCGCCTGCAGGGGCATAACCCTCACAATCCACATTGATCTTGACTGTGCCAAATGGGACTGATGGTGAGACAAAAACCCAACATTCAGTCTTTGCTCAGACACATTTTTCAATTTGACCTTACTCACTAGAAGCACCCAGTGACACATCACCAAGGTTGTTGGTCCAGATGAATGGGTTCTGAGCCAGATATAAATGGTGCATGTGTGTCAGGACATATTGCTGTAAGCCAAGTCTACCTCAAATTGCATCTTGGCATTGCCGTAGGATGTACCACCCAAGTTGTTATATCTGAGTAGGATTGTGTCTTGTTGATACTCTTGTTGTGGTTTTGGTCATCATTGGATCTTGCAAGTATCTCGTGAAAGCAAGGCTGGATCAATGATTTTTCTTGAAGGAAGAATGAAGCTGCTAGGCAAATGCAAGCAAATGTGAGAAGCGCACAAGCCGGGTTTTTTTGCGTTATTTTTGTTTCAAGACGGTAGTTGAATGATCAGATACAAATCTTGAAGAGACAAACAGTGAATGCAAGTATTGAAGAAAAGACAGGAAGACTACAAAAAATATGACAACTTTGAGTGTGGGATCACAATGCAAACACTGTGCTGTGTAAATAAAACTGAATTGAGGGTGTGAATCCAAACAAATTTCAATCTCTGCACAAAAAATGGACATATCCCCCACCAGTGGATTCCCAGGGCCCAAATGCTCCTGGATGATCAAAGGAGGAAGGCTTGGCAAACACCGAAGATGCTTGCAGCAGCTCGCAGCTCAAGATGATGATCCAAATCATAAGAGCATCAGCACCGGGCCTTGTAAAATAGGGCCTGATTTGTTGTTGAGATACTAGCAGTGTATCTCTTTGACTTGAGTTTCAGACATCGAGAAAGGTCTTCCAATTATCTGTGAAAGTTCCCTTTTCCATTACTCCAACATTTCAATTTAAAACACATCACAAACAAATCAACACACCTGGAAGCAAATCTTATTGATCATTGGTGCATTTAATCTTAAATAATGCACATAGAAAATCAAATGATATCCACCTCTTGTCCTAATTCTTTCCAATGCATATAGCTAGTCTCTCTTGAAAGCTTTCTTTCCCTTTCTCTCTGTTCCTCATCCGTTACTTTACGGAGGAAAAGAGAGTAAGTCACTTTCATTATTTCTTTCTGTATGTTCATGATACTGATCACCATATATGATTATGTTTTGTTTTCCTTTATCTAATTCACCTATATGTGTGTTATCATCAGAAAAAATAACTAAAAGTGTTTGTACTGAACACTTTTATTTTTCTTAATCTGACCTTGCAAACCTTATAGGTCAGATTATACTTGAATTTTCTATCATTTTCATTCTTTCTTATCTAACATCGCTTTATCATGTTGTTATTGTTTCTCTTTTGATCTCTTAGGTTAGTTGGCAAGTTTTATTGTGACTGAGGTGATAATGGCTCACCTCTTGATATTTGTCACAAGTTTATCAGGTGAAATAATATGCATTATTTTACAGAGGAAAAGAGAAGCATATAACTAAAAGTATTTGTACTGCACAATTTTCTTTTTCTTAATCTGAACTTGCAAACCTTATAGGTTAGTTGGCAAGTTTTATTGTGACCGAGTTGATAGAGGCTCACCTCTAGATATTTGTCACGAGTTTATCAGGTACACTTCTACAACAATCTTCTCTTTTCATTTGTTTGCTGTATGACACAGAGTTAACAGCCAAGAACATGTATGCATATTTTCCCAGAACATTGTAAAGTTTTGGCAAAACTGAGGCTTTGCAAAAGCTGGAAAGTCCAAATGATACATTGCTCAAGCAGGCTTGATATGTGATATGTGATTATGTCATATCAATTGCTGATCTAAACACAATTGAGATGTGTTGGGCGAGGTTGTTGTCTTTTTTGATGGTAGGAATTTGTACATCCAATATTGGTGGGTTAAGTGCAGTCCTTTGGTCCCTTGGGGCAAATTTAGGATTATACAATGCAGTCCATGATTACATGTTCAAGGTATATTTTACGTGTTGTTTAAACCATACAGGCTGTTTGCAAGGTCCAGTGCCTCACTTTTATTCTCATGGGTTTGTAAAATGGCCTGGATTTAAATCTTTACAAGGCCTGGTGCTGATGCTCTAAGAGACCTGTTCATAGTTGGCATGGAATGTTAACACAGTGGAATATGTGAAACGGCAAATGTCACACTCGCAAACAGATCAAGCAAGCTAACCACTCTCAAAAGAAGTGCATTGAAAAGCATACAACAAACTCCCCCAATGGTTTTGGTTGTGCTACTCTCGGACATTGTCCACATTTTTATTCCTTCTCTCATTTGTGGTTGCGTTTTCTAACACAGTACTTCCAAAAAAGATTGTTTGATATCTTCAAAAAAGTAGTATCTACTCAAAATTACTAAATTTGTTATTAGTGTTATCATTTTGATTCATTTTCATTTTTAATGGTAGTAGTTCAGCAATTTTTATTTTCCCGCCCATCACCCTTCTTGTCAGACAAAGGGTTGAAGTTTCATGTGGAGCATTATGCCAGCGTTAAAGCAGCTGTATTTCTCTTCTCACAGGAGAGCAGGGAGTGTCACAGTGGGACAGCTCAGCACCAAGTTAGGCTACCCACAGTGCTCTCCTACTCTGCAGCCCAGTCCAATATGATCTCATGCAATTCCAGGCCACAGGCCTCTATGGGTAGCACAGCGGACCATTTGCCAAAATTAGCAGTGACTGATTCCTCAAAATTCATGAGGTGGAAATTGGAACAAACACCAAATTTGAAATGATGACCCGCATTGCACCCCTCTGAGTTGAATTTGACTGTGCACCGGTGGAGCACCCCTGCAGTGGGCTGTGCACCAATGATGTATCACACTCAGTCAGCCCAAGTATATTGTATGCCGAGCACACATTCCTGTGATATCTGACTTGCTTACTCCGCCCCAGACAAAAGGTGAGCATCGGAAGAGTTGTGATTCCCAATTCCCGCCTGCCACCTGGAAGGACCACAGTTTGTAAATTTCCTGTGCAGTCAACACAGCATGCCTCATCTGGTCACAAGCATCCATTTACCAATTCCCAAAAAGAACACAAGATATTCCAAACTTAACAAAGTCCCCCGTTTCTCTGAGGCTGTACAGGCCAGCTCAAACGAGGGACTTACACGCAAAGTCCCAAATTTGGCGTGAGATCTGTCGGGGAATTTCGACAAAATCTATCATTGTCACTGCACAAAAATCTCACTAATCATCTCCTCTCGAGATCCTTATCAAAAATATGCGCAGGGGCGCTGCGCATCTTTTGCCCTGCTCCATTTTTCCTTAACTTAAATGGCTCAAAAGATGCTTTGCAAAAAGGAATTCGGGCCAAAACCGGGGCCCATCAGGGCCTCGCGACGACTGCGGCAACCAAAACTTGAAAATTAGGTGCGAAACCCGTATTTGCGCGACAATACCTCCAATTGGTTACGCGCAAACACAGTGCCCGTGGAGAAGGCCCCCGACGTCGGGGGCCCAAAGCTGTTGCGCAAAAGTATCAAAAAAACTGTGAAATTTCTGTCCAGGCCAAATTGGAACGCTGAGCCCGCCCAGTTTGCCCCATACCCAGCAGCCAGACTCGGGTGTTGACCTCAGGAGCACTGAGCCATCATTCAACTTCACCAACAGTGATGAGCTGGGCTGAGCGGTCCTGCCCTTTGTATGAACCCATGGGGCATCTGTCAAAACATATGCTCAAGGCCATTACCGGGCAAAGATTCCCCGCAATTCCCGTTTTAGATTGGGGTTGGAGCTTCGGGATCCAGATCCTGAAGAGAGTATGTCCGGTCTCGATGCCATCCTTACATCGTCCACAAGGAAATCAAGCTATCTTATTCCTCAGAGAGTCTCAGGTCTTGTTTACAGCTTGTGATCACAAAAACAACCACAAACAGTTATATCAAATCACAAATCAAGACTATCATTACTAGTAAAGGGTAGAATCGATGTCAGAACTATCAGATCATAATTAACATCATCAACGACATCTGTTCATCATTATTCTTAGGTGGTCCTCATGGATTTGGTTATGAACCACTTTTACTCAAACATGAGCGTGATGCGGTAGCAAGTCTCTTGCAGTTCCTCGAGTGTCATCATTAAACCTTCATCAGCCCCAACAGCACTATTCGACCGTTGACTTTCAACTCTCATCTTTCACCATCAATCTACCCTTTGTTTAGATCAAACTGGTACCAATTTCTTCACTGGAGAACCGCTCAAGTCACTCAACTCTATCCTTCTCCGATAATGTTGACTTACAACGACCAGCTGCTTTGGCCTTTTCCGAGATTACTGAAAAAGATGTTAGAGAAGTAGGAAGGGATACTTTAGAACCTATCATGTTCTTATTACAATCTCATGATACAGAAGTTCAACGTGCTGCTAGCGCTTCTTGGTAACTTGGCTGTCAACAGTTTGTTGCATTTCCAATCCTCTCTAGTCAATCATCATGGTCATGCGCTAATTAGAATTCATCTGATCATCATGACTTCTGTTCTCTTTATCACTTGAACAGCTGAAAACAAGTTGTTGATTGTTAAGTTGGGTGGACTTGAAATGTGACGAGCAACAACAAAAGACAACCGAATTCAAGGAAAACACAATGAAGAACGAAAAACAAAAGAACAAAAGCCGACCTAAGCGAAGGTCAGCTTTACTTCTTTTCTATCAAACTTGGGAAATAAATTCAAACAACTAACTAACAATACCAAAACATTTTATCTGTTGATCAAACAGACATATACTACCTCCACCAAGTTTTTCCTCTAAACCAAGTTAATATCTCGATTACCATTCTCCTTTGAATTGATTTTCTTGAATCAAAGAACTAACCATTTGCCAAAAAAGGATGCTAAACCTCCTCCGATAGATGAACCTGCATTACATCAAGGAAGGAAAAGAATAAAAGAACATGTAGAAGGTGATTGGCCTACTCACATATACCTTTCAAGTTAGTTGTGTTCATCTTTGTCTTATGATAAAAGAATTCAAAGAGAAACTGATTTTGAATGAATTGGTTATTAAAAAAGAAAGAGATTAAATCAATTCTATTGAAAATCATAAGATACTTGTCAAGAGAGTTCTTCAAAATGGCATAACTTGATAACCAGTCAAAGTAAGCAAAAAACCCCAATCTGTCTTGATGATGATTTGTAGCTCTTAGGCTCATTTTTTGTTGACTCTAGATGATCGATTACATTTATCACTTTCACGCCCATTAGCTCTCAAATCTCCTCAACTAAAGACTTTTAGAATAGCTTTAACACATGCTATAAACCAAATGAATTCCATTTTGTTCCATTCTCTCGATTTTGTTATCTTACAAATGACAATCAAAGTAGATCTTTTTAGCTTCAGAAGTGGGAAGTGGACATTCTTCTGTACGTCTTTTTTGACTCTGATTCAATCTTTCAAACAAAAACTGATCAAGATTTTTTTATTTTTGAAAAGCTGACAAATTTGGTCGAAAAAGTCAATGAAATTTTGAAAGAATTTGGGTTAGAAGAATACTATGAGAATCCAATCTTTCATTCATCGATTCCATGTGATTTAATAAATTCTGAAAACTCTACATCAGAAGAAAATGTAATAAAAGAAATTGAAAAGAAATCAAACCAAAACAAAGAATTAAATAAGATTAGATCATTTGAAGTTTCAATCAAGAATGTAGAGTCAACTATTGAAAAAGTATATGGTCATTACCTTCAAAAGATTCATAAACCATTTCAACCTTTATTTATTCTTGGGATTTTTACTTTCTTATCAATACCATTCACATACAATTTGGGAACTCTAGCTTCAGGATTGATAAAGGAAAAAATTGTAATTGTAGAAGTTCTCCAAAGCTAATGAGAAGGATTTGCCTTCAAAGTCATCTGTAAATAAGATCTCCAGGAATACATTGTAAGGTGCACATCTACACTCAACCCCTTTGGCTCTCAAGTCATACATATACCAATATATCATAAATGTAGTGAAGCATTAAAAAATGACCATGAGTTCACAACAGCCCAATCAATTTTGTCATGTTCTCAAGGGCAGCAGCCTGTATACTCTCCTTACCCATACAGCAGTAAAGTCTTCCGGTGCAAACTGATTTGCAGATCCACTCGAATGAAAAGTTGAATCCATTCTTTGATCCTTCACTCAATAAAGAGGCACAATGTTGATTGATTTAAGATTAAATCAAGAGATTTGAATGATGCATTACATTTCATATTGTAGAAGAAGTACTACTACTAATATTAGATTGAGCATCAAGTGAATCAAGTACAGGTCCCAGTACATGCCAGCAGGTTTACTTAATATGTCCCTCATCCTATCAGAATTGAAAATTTCTAAAGCAGGTAAAAGATCAAGTGTAGCTTTAACTTCAACCTTTGAAAATTTAGCCCTCAATTGTTTGATTCGATTTTTCACCATTTTAATTTCTGGTTTCGAAATCTTGGGTTTCTTGGATACTCCTAATGCTGATGGTCTACGTTCAGTTGAGATTTCTAATTCGTTTTGGGTTTGATGTTAATCTAATTTGATTCCTACTACTTTAGATTTTTCTATCATCCATTCAAGTTCTTCTTCAATATGTTGATTAACCTTTTCATTTAACTTTGTTTCCCATTCTTTTGTTTTATAACGTCTTGTATGACGTCCTGCGGAAAATTCCCAATCTGGTACTAATAATCCCGGTACTATTGGGATGTTTTTGGTCGGATTTTGAAAATAATCTGGGAATCGGTTTCTTAGTTCTGGTGAACTTGATAGCCAAAGATGGTAATCCTCATATTCTTCTGGATCTACTGTAGATTTCCAAGTATCTAGAGGTGGTGCGAATAGGTCTTTGCGATCTGAAAAAAAAAGCAAGGACAGAGGCAATCACGTCAGCCAATTTATTTCTAAGCGCACATAGGCCTTGGGTATGATAGGAAATCCAATGATCATGGGCTGATGATAGATCATGAGAATTAAGTGCTTACTTTCTCTCGGTTGGACGTGTGAGACCTCGATAACCCGTTGATCTGCGAGCATAGGATAAGGTATGAAGTTTAGCAATCTACGAAGAAAGCTCACTCTTCAAGGTGTCAAATCAACTTACCAACGATCTCTCCATCCCTTCTACGCAGTTCCTTAGCCCATTCAGCTTCCATAAGTGTTTGATAACGCTCACGAGCCTCGATTCGTTTCTCAGAATCTTGAAGTCCTATCATCCATTTATGTTCGACAGGCCAAGGAATGATTTTCTCCGATTCTCTTAATGGTTCAAGTTGTTGTATTGAATGTGGTGTACCAATTCTTGTCCAATGAATCTCTTTCCTTCAACCATTTCTTACAGACTCATGTTGAACTTCTTGTAAGTTTTCATAGTAAATCCTGTTACAATTAATAAATCAAATCAGAAACTTGGAACTTTGACCAGAGTGTGATTTTGGAGAAAATAAAAATTGATGGATGCTTAACTCGTCTGAACCTGGACTCATCAGTCTGACTGTACTATACTCGAATTCGATTGGAACACTTCTCACATATTCAGGTAATTCAGGATGAGCTTTTTCAGACTTATCGGTCTAAACAAAATCATACAAATCCCAATCAGTAAATCAATCATAAAAAACATAAACCTCTCAAAAATACATCAAAAGTGACGAATTCCAAACTAACCCAGAACTCAGGTTCCAGTAAAACAATCCGATTAGTAGTTCTATCCACCTGATAAACCGTACCAATCTTACCTCTAAACTCTTTTGTACAATCATCACTCGATCACCAGCTGTAAGATTTCAAAACTTAATTCGATCTGAAAGATGTACAATAAAATAATTTGTGTCAATCTCCGTGTAGTCCAAATACCCTGCTGTACTTCTATAGAAGCATAAGGCCATAGATAAGTCAGATTTGACATTTTGGAAGAAATTCTGAAAGTTGAAGAATATGACTCCACTGAAAATTTGATGATCACATGATCGGAGTGACCAGGCTTTTGACTTCGACGAGTTTCCCAACCTCCATCCATATTCTCGGGACCCCGACCAGGTAGGATGAGGTTTGAACCTACACCATAATGATGATTAGAGGTTGAAACAACTTGAGCTACGAGTAAGGCGCTGGCTAAGTCAAAACGAGACACCGGATTATCAGGGAAAATCGGGATGGGATGACCATAGACGCGAAATCGGGCAAGACCACCTGAAATGAAACACTGGTGAGATGGAGAGAAGGTCACAGTAGGAAATGAGCAAATGATTACGAACCATCAGGAATCATGTGTAACTTCAGATATTGGTAAGTCTCGGCGGTTTGCTCGATTTTGAACAGGTGACGTGATGAAGGACCTAGAGGCACGGCTGGCAACAATTCTTGCCACTGCTTTTTCCAAACCACATCAATCAAACAGTAATGAGAAGCTGATTGGTTCATCTCATTGGGAACGTACCTGGGAATGATCAGCACATGGAGCTATTGTGGAGGTTGAATCGGATTGAGCGCTGATGGGAAGTCCAAAGACAGAACAAGCTGAAGCTTTGTTGCCACTGAAGTGGGTGGTGTTGAGATCAAAGCCTTCGATAGTGGCGGAAGAGACGCCGAGGCGAATGATGACCCTATAGATGAAGTTTGTCGAAAGCCATGATAAGTTGAGCTGATCAGGATCTGACTCGAAGTGAGATCGGGTTTATGACTGACCAATCATATGTAGGATTGTGACGACGAGATTCCCATCCCTGAAAGAAGATTCAGAATACCAGATTGTCAAGATTCATAAGGGAAATCAACAAAAGGTGGAGCAAGTTTCAAGGATACTTTATGGAGAGCTTCCAAGTGTTCAGTGAGGAACACTGAGCGCTCAGTCGTTAATACTGAGTGTTCAGGGCCGCTTGTCTCCTAGTCTGCCTGAGGCTTGACTCAGACGGATGAAGTTCAGCGTAAGGAATGTTCTTCCAATCTTTCCCCTTTGTGGATAATTGTACGCTTCTGGGCCACAAAAATCACACAAATGTGACAAAATTGCCAAGATCTTTGGGCCCCCGAAGTCGGGGGCCTTCTCCACAGGCACTGTGAAACTGTTGTTTGCTCAACAGGGATCGTCGCTGGCGCACCACAAGACAAGTGCTCAATTCCGAGCGTCACCTTGCATCCAACCTCTCTCGCCCATACCTTTTCTATCATGCTCCGCAGGAGCCATTCCGCGAGGGGTGCAACCTTGCTGGCTCAGCACAAGCAAAAATCTCTCACCACACGGCCGAAAAAACAACCACAATTCATCAATGCTAGCGAAGAATCTCAGCGCGTAGAAGTTGGCAACATGTTTCAGCCAAGGCACGGATACCCAGCTCGACCAGAGCAGATCCAGTCTGTTGTCGATCTACTCAACGACCGCACCTCGTTCTTATTAGCCGGAACTGGCTTTGGCAAAAGCCGGGTGCCCGAAATGTACTATCACGCTCACGAAACAACTTCGGCGCCCATTATCCTCTGTATTAACCCCTTGGATGCCCTCGGAGACGATCAGGTCAGCAGTTCACTGTTTCACTCGGCAATCAGACTTGATCTGACTAGGGTTGCCTTTGCAGGTCAGCGAGAAAGAGGCAGTAGATCTGCGGGCAATCAATTTGACTGGCGAAAACTGCACGCAGGACGCGTGTGATTCCATTTTGCTCGGCGATTTCGTCTTCGTCTATGTGGTAATGTGTTCATCCTTGGGTATACAGATGATATCATGTGTATAGGCTAACATCAAAGTGCTTCTTTGTCTGGTCGGTGGCCAGAGTCCAGAGGTGGCGTTGACGAACAAAATATTTGACCGATTGTGGCGAGAACCACGGTTTTAGGCCAGGTTGATCCTCACGGTAGTCGATGAAGCTCACATGATCTACACTTGGGGACTGGTGGAGAGTGGTCAAGCGAAGCGTCTAGCCAGCCACGTTCGCGTACAGGATGCAGGTGTATTCCGACCTTCTTACGGCGATCTTGCGCGGCGATTTCTCTCGACAGTCAAAGTTCCATTGCTGTTGATGTCCGCAACATGCACACCCCAGGCCATCCTAGCTATTCAGGCCAACCTCAAATTAGATCCTCAGGATGTATTTGTGACCAGAGCTGAGCTGGTTCGTCCAGAGATCCGGCTCATACGCAGGACTTTCAAACGACCCCACAAAGCCTCACTCCGTGGAATCTTCCCACATGAAGATCAAGTGCCTACCAGCTCTATTCCCCCGACACTATTGTATAGTGGCACTCAGAATGCAACTTTAGAATACTTGCAAATTCTCAACACCAGCCGAGGACAGCCAAACGAAACCGGGAATCCCTTCTCCAACTTTGCTCGCCGATACCACGCCTCCACCGGGCCCGAAGCCAAGCTCGATGCTGTGGCTGCGTATGTGACAGGCACCCTGGCGGTACTTTGCTGCACGCTGGCCCTCGGCCTGGGTCAAAATTGGAGTCGGGTTCGAAGAGTAGTTGTTGTGGGTCGACAAGACCCTTGCAACTTCGTACAGATGACTGGACGCTGTGGACGAGATGGGCGCCGAGGTCTAGGTATCATTTTGGTGGAGCATAAGCGTACGAAAGGGAAGAGCAGGATTTCCGATTTCAAAACCCCGACGATCATGACGGACGATGATCGTATGGACGCGTTTGCAATAACGCCTGTGTGCTTACGAGTGGCCCTGGCCGTGGATCTGAAGTGAGCTAAGTTTTTCACCTCGGCGTCCTGCATTTCATCATGCTGAAGTGTCTTGAAAGGCTCGGGTTCATACCTCTGGACATAGATCACTGCTCCGTCAAGGAGGAGGCAAAGCGTCAGCTGGAAGCAAATATGAGCCCGTGCGACTGTTCAAACTGCAAACCTGAGGAGGCAGAGGCTCTCTGGCTCGCCCAATCAGCGCTCACGACGGACAACTTCGATGGGGCGCTAGCAATGTGCGAATCGCAACTCTTCGACCTCGCCAATAGCCTACCTGAAAGGCCTCCACCTCCGGCCCCCCAAACACGTTCACTGGCCATGCGTTGCAAGGCCGACGACCCCATCCGAAGTTCTCCCTTGCACAAATCACTAGTCAACATGTTCGAATCGTCTTTTGAAAGGTTTTTCAACACAATTTTCACAGGGCCTTCGGACCTGGGCCCTGCAGATTATTTTAGCCGGGAGTTAGCGTGGGGTTTGGCAAAGAATGTGGATGAATTGTCGAGTCCAAAAGGTTTTGCAGCTGTTTTGACCAGTGAAATGATCCCCGGTCAATACCAATGCCATTTGGAAGCTTTCAATGAGTGGAAAGACGCCTATGATACTGCTGACATCATCGCTGTCGCTCGTTATTCTCGGCTGGCCACTCTTAAACCCGCCGCCAAGATCGAACCGCCACAATCTGTCGAAGGAGCTGTCATCTCACACGCTCGGGAACTGGCAGACAAGGAACAATCACGATTTGAGCGAGATCAAGCCAAGTTGCAGGACGCCGAAGACAAACAGGCTGAACGGTATCGAATTGCCAAAGAGAAGGAGGAGACCAAAAAGGCCAAAGCCGTCGCTAAAGCAGAAAAGGCACGAATCGCGAAAGATAATAAAGAAGCCAAAAAGGCTGCAGCCTTAGCTAAAGCGGCCGAAAAGGCCCGGATTGCCAAAGAGAAGGGTCAGCTGCCCAAACCCAAACCCCGGCCGCCTGCTAAAACACGTGCTCGCAAGGTGGTTCCTCCTGCCGGAACTGCCACAACTGAGCACCTCTCCGGCATTTCGAAGCCCGGAGGCCTCAAAGACGTGGTCCAAGAACCTCATCAGAAAGGAAGCCTGACTCAGCAGGTAAGACTAGCTCATTGCCCGATGTTACGACCCACGTCCAAACAATATGTTGACCCTTAGTGTTATTCAGGAGTTCACCGCTCATGATGTGTCACATGAGTCCGCTGTGCGAGCGTTTACAGACCTGGTCGGCGGCTCGTCCAAAAGAGCCGCGTCTGATGACCTGTTGGTCACCACGGATCCCAAGCGTAGGCTGCCCTTGCAGGTAAGAGGTCTTACAGAATTTCACTGTAATTCCATGACTCTAAATACGATTAAATATTCACAAGGCTTGTGTGATCTTATTACATTGTCAGTCCTCGCCCTGGGCCTCAGGGTTTTCCCACGAAGACAACACATCAGACGCGCCCCACCGAAATCGAGACGATCGACCAGCCGCTTTATCGGCATTAATCAATCCAACCATATGCTCATGTCCCTCGCGCCAAACGTTAACGGTCATTGGGGGGGGCCGCGCGGTAGATTTATTGCCTAAATGTTCCTGAGCATAGCTGAGAAACGCCTTCATCGAGGCGTCAGTGATTGTGTTTGGGTTGGGCTGGTAGACCATCTTGTGACCGGATAGGGATCTGAGTAGCTGCATGAGCATTCGTAGCTGTGGACAAAACGATTTCTGTGTCAGATAGGAGATTGTGGTGCAATACTATGTTGAAGACACATACCAATGGAATGTTGTTCGAAAAGCGATACGTGAGGCGTTCAATGTCCGTCCCATGTCCCTGTGAGTTGATGAGAGCACAGATAAGCCTTCTCTCACTTGTGATTCAATGTACACTTCGAAAGATTGTGAACTCACGGTGTTGTTGTACATATGTTTGAGCCAAAAAATATGTATTTCCAGGTACTCATCAATAGCGAGCCAATGGTTATCTCCTCGGCCTGAAGGAATAAGCAGCGAGTGCTTGATGGCATGTGCAAGGCTCTTAGGTAAGTCAACTTCTAAAAGCATGACTATCCTTGGTATATGCCGTGCATAATGCGAAAGCCCTGTTAATCCTTGGGCCATTACGGCCCAACGCTTCCACATGGCCATAAGTCTACCAATGTCACCAGCGCGAGTGGACTCGTGGGCCTCGACCACGGTTGCAAAATCTCTCAAACGCAATATTAAATTATACCGAGTATGATCCCCATTCGCAGCGGCCGCTTTCAGGGAGGTTTGGTCAAAATACTGCTTCCAGACCTTATCAAATATTCGTAGAATATCTGCCTCTTCGGTCCAGTTGACGTGTTCTTCAGCCTCGATCACCTGTCTAGTGGGCCAGCAAAGTAAGTGATGTGTTACATTCCTACAGCGCGAGTAAATTTGTTACTTACTTGAGAATAAACACCAGGGTTGCTTTATGAACGATTTGCAAAGATCGCATGATGCTGTTGAAATCTTGCGATTGCGGTGGCTTCTTGTACTCACCACCTAAGGCATGAGCTGATCGCCACACCCCGGAATCATGTCCATTCCCAGAATCACCCCAATGAAGACCCCATATGGCCTTCGCAAAATTCCAATTGGTATGCGCACCACCAAAGATAGACAGGACCCAATCAATGCCCTCAAGTGCTTTCACCGGTGGATAGCGCTTAACTCGCAAGCTTTCAAGTAGCTGGTTCGAGCCAACGTCTCCCGCCGCGATTAACACCCTCTTGGCATACTCGTCTTTGTCGACACCGGTTTGGCCCATTACTGCGTCTAGAACTCGTGAAACCCCATCGGCAGACGAGTCAGGCGCATCCATCATACGGAGAAAGTGTATGTTCGGCTTGTGCAATGCAATTTGGTCTATAGGTGGTGGTCGACATGACAGCTTTGGTAGCTTGTTGGCCTCGGGGACTCCAGGTAGGTGACTCGAGAATTCCAATAGTGCTTGGGCGAGTTGTGATTTGATAACTAAGACCCAGTGTTCCATGTCTGAAGGGGACGGCGCAAACAAACCAACTTCCACTGGCTTGCGGTCCGCAGAGTCCATGGCGTCCAAAAATGTGGCGATGCTAGCCGCCTCGTCCGCGCATTTCGCCTGGAGACAGCTGCGAATGACGTGATAAAACCCCCAGGTGCCGTGGAATAGGCGCGACGATGTGTCAATTCGAGTATTGTGGATCCTAAGATGTATGTCAATATTATCAAAGCATAATAAAGGCATGATCTTATGATTCACTTTGAAAAGATCAATCATTCTTTCTTCTTGCAGTATGCGAAGGTGGTCCGTAGCTTGCAAAACACTCGTACGTGAGGTGGTCAATCCGAGAGTGTGTAGCCATTCGTTGACTCGACACGAGACTCCACTCGCCAGAGTCATCAAACCATTCGCAAGGGGTATGGCGTTAGCGCGACGATTGCAAGCTACAGCGATCATCGAACATATCATTGTTGGGAGCTTACATTCGAAGTGGAGGGTGGAAGTGTCAGTAAGTAAAACCATCCGGTTTTTGAAAATCTTCCATGGCTCACTGTTTCGATTTTATGCCCGGCCAGGCTTGCCGCATTTGGTTTCACGAAAACCAGGTTCTCGAGGGACAAGACGGTGTCCTCATCCAACGCCCCTTCGATCCCGCTCTCCCCGGAATTGGGGTTGTCACCAGGTGGAGTGCTAGCCTGGGACTGCAAGGGGTGCGCCGCCTCGACATGTTCATCCTCTTTGTCGTCGGTCGGCTTCTTGTTCTTCATGCTAAGGGAGAGCTTGCTTCGTATTAGGGAATGAAGGAAGGGCATCCCAGTCTGGATTTGTTTGGCACGATGCTCCGCTGCACCTTCACCGAAGTAGTCAGGTGTGATGCGGTTCGAACTCGTGAAAGCTCCTGCGGGAAAATAACCCCTCATGACTTCCTGCTGATTCACAATTGCAGAGGCCTGAGGAAAACAAACCGCGGAGGTCAGGTTGGTTACATCGCGTCAGATCATATTCTTTGAAGAAAGAAGTTCCGGCTGACCTCTTCCAAGATTATTTTCTCCCAGCCTTCTTCGCCTACATCGCTGGTCCTAGTCAGATTGCCAAGATTCTTGACAATTGACCGGGTGGTCTTGATTCCCAAGCCAATCTTCATGAAACGTTGGCGGGAATTCAATTCTTCGTGAGTCGAAGAGAAAAAGGTCACCATAAATTCTTTTGGGCTGAAGCCAATCTTGTTGATATAGTCACAAACGTCTATTGTACAAGCAACTGTCTTGGGAATATGCACGCTGGGTGTTATAGGTGTTTGAGCAGAGCCATTAGGAGGTTTAGGAGTGGGAGTCGGCATTTTATGAGATGCTGGTTCTTTTTGAAATGGAATATGAACACGATGTAATAATACACGGAAGCCAAGACGGGCCCAATTCATACAACGATGGACAAACCGTGAAGCGATCAAGAGTGTACAGCTGTTCAACCTCGAACTTGACCAAAGTGCTCATGAACGGGAATCTAACGTAGCGCATGAGGCCCCCGCGCATGTTTGAGTTTCAAGCTAATAAACCAATCCCAGGCGTTTTTGGGATTGTATTGTCACGCCTGGGATTGATTTGTTAGCTTGAGTGTCATCCTAACAATTCAATCCCAGGATATCTTGGTATTGATTTGAGGATTGAGTGTCATCCTAACCAATCAAACCCATTATAACATGGGTCAGATCGGGTGGATGAAACTCAAACGACGCGCCTGGTGGAAACCCCAGGCGCGTTTAACCCCAACATGCAATAAGGGGAAAGACAAGAAGGCATCTGCAACTTTGACATCGATCAAATAGAAGGTCTTTCGTCCCCGGTGCTTTGTTCCCCCATCCAAGCAGCCAGCTATGTCAGAACATTACCCATCTGATGCCCCTCCATTCGACGCACATCAATCGGATGATGTGCAATCAGTGCCTGATATCTCTGAACGGCATGGATTTGATTCACCTACCTCTGAGGGACAACGAACCAAAACCGATGGATATGAATCACCTACCTCTGAAGGACCACGTTCAGTTTCTCTTCGCGGCGAATTAATGGAAACAGAACCATCGGACCCTCCGGATTCTGATGACTCTTTTGTCATACCTCTCAGCGAGATTGATCGAGGTGAGCGAGTCTCTTGCATCATTGATGCTATCCTAGATCAAGACATGACTGTACGACAGTTTATTGGCGAGGTTAGACCCACACCCTATACGCTCATCAACCCAACCTGCACTCCAAATCAAAGGCAGATTGTCATTAGGAGCATCGACGCCATCAACTACATGCGCAGTCAAAACTTGAACGTTGAAGAGTTCATCCACGCTATACTTGATCGTACCAACGAGGATCTCTGGCCACATCAGGCTTCCTTTCGTGGCACTGGCATATACTCTTGTGCGGTCATTCAAGGCATATTTATTGGCCTGCGCAACCAAATCTGCGGCGCCGGAAATGAACAGGGAATATGGTGTGAGCTGATCCAATGGGAGGTAAGCCAAGCTTCTATCTCTTACATTCCACGTCCTCGTTCTGCAATGTAGCATCTCACAAAATGTTTGACTTACCATCTTTCCTTTAATGTTTTGACAGGCTAATGACTTGCGGATCATTGTGGCGGAGAATCCCTCTCCATGGTGAAGCAACTCGGTGACTTGCATTAGGTGAGATACTTTCTCACCTTCCCTCATGATGATGGCTCATCTTCTTCATAATAGTTTCTCACACTGATACTGACCATTATGAAGCAGTGCGAAGGACCTTTGCGACACAAAAAATGCATTGTCTCTAGGTCCCTTGAGGACCTCAAACTGCTGTTTGTGCTTAAGAATTTATGGGAGGACGAAACCTTTTGCACCTCGCAGCATTTGAGAGTCGCGAGGCCCTGATGGGCCCCGGTTTTGGCCCGAATTCCTTTTTGCAAAGCATCTTTTGAGCCATTTAAGTTAAGGAAAAATGGAGCAGGGCAAAAGATGCGCAGCGCCCCTGCGCATATTTTTGATAAGGATCTCGAGAGGAGATGATTAGTGAGATTTTTGTGCAGTGACAATGATAGATTTTGTCGAAATTCCCCGACAGATCTCACGCCAAATTTGGGACTTTGCGTGTAAGTCCCTCGTTTGAGCTGGCCTGTACAGCCTCAGAGAAACGGGGGACTTTGTTAAGTTTGAAGATATTCAGTCATTGGTCTTGTTGAGAGGTTGTGTCAAATCAAGGCTCTCTCCAAGGACTTCTATTGTGCACAATACAGGTGAGGGTTGTAAGAAACCTTTGATCCTTTTCAGAAAATCTGCCGACATCGTTGCAAAGCTGGTCAGCTGCGCTAAGGTTATTGATTCCCATATATCAGGATAGGTTGCGGACACCTTTTTGGCAGGGTCCTTCAATAGCATTATTTTAGAATACAATGTTTGCAATCATATGATATGATATGATGTTGATGAGCTGCAATGACAAGATTAGAACAATAGGGGTCCTCAAGTTCAGAAGATTTGAACACAGTCCAAGTGTAAATTGAACAGCTATCTGAGCAAGCATACCTGTTCAATATCTGAGCAAGGACGCACGTGTGTTCTGTTTGTTTTGTGCATGGGGCATGTTTGTTTTGTGCATGGAACACATCCTCAGACACCAACATGAAAACAAAAATCACAAGTCTGGAGACTGAGCAGGACTTGGATAATGGGTTGAGACAAGGCAGTTTCCTCCATCTCTCCATCTGTGAGACGAAATCACAATTTGTCCGTTTCAATAGGCAATTTCCATTTTCATCCTCACCATGAGCACAGCCCATCTGCCCTTGAAAGACAGAGTCAAATCTTTGTGTCAGCACTATTCACCTAATCACTGTTTTTTTGGTGGTGATAATTGATAATGAGAACAACGAGAAAACAGAAAAGAGAGACAAGATAAAGATTGGATGTGAGCATACAGGCAGAGTTTATAAAGGCTACCACATATCCAATGTTTGTTGATATCATGGCTTAAGGAAAATTTTCTTGTCTTGGGCCTTCTGTTTGTTTCAGCGTAGACCTCTGATTGTTACCTGTCCACAGAGGCTCCGAGCCACTGGTCGAATTCAATGAAATAAATTAACAATTCAAACACGGTCCAAGTGTAATTCAAACACGATTTTTCTCAACTTGAGGACCCCTATTGCTAACCTCATCTTCATCCCAATCCGTCATTATCTGGTTCAACATGTGGTTTCCTACTTAGGTTAAGCACTGGTAATGGTGAAGGAGCTACAATAATTTTAAGATAGATTGAGTCCGAGAATTTTTCATCTCGCCAAGCGAGCGATTTGGTGTACAAATTCTGGAAGAACGACCACCCTACAATCACATACAAACATGCAGGTGACATCTCATCTCCAGTATGATGGGCATCTTAAAAAGTTAGGCAACAGTCATTAGATGTCAGTACTGGGAATTCTCCTGGGTGTCCACAGGTTTCAGGCTTAGCTCAACTCAGATTTGACAATTTCCCAGGATAGATCCACCGCCGCAAGAATGTCTTCCGGAAGTGGGCCTTCTTCCGATTTGGTGCAGTTCATCTCAATTTGATCAACTGAAGACGCGCCAAAGATGATGCCATCCTCGGGCTTCAGCGCAGAATGATGTTGTAGCCATCGAGCTGCCACTGACACCAAAGTTGTGTCAGGATAACCTTTCAGTGAAGCTTTGAGAATCTCCAATGCCTTGAAATAACTGTCACGAAAGTATCGTTCGCGATACTACAAAAGAGGAGCCGCCCGTAAGGATCATATCAGCGCTTGGCTGTCGACAGAAAACGAGATTCTGTCAAAAGCGGTGAAGGAATCATGACTTTGAGTATAGGGAATCATCTGTTTTGAACATACCATCACGCCTTGTCTATGGCTGGGATCGAAACGGCCACCCGGTTCAATCTGATCATCAGGCTTCGTGATCTTCCCGGCGAAAAAGCCCCCAGCTGGCAAAGGAATTCGATAAAGTTTGTACAGACTGAAATTACAGTTAGAGCTCATCAGGACCAACCTAGCGGATTATAGAGAACCAAACGGATTCCCAAAGATCGACAGCAAGGAAAAAGCTGGGTCGAGCCATTCGAGGTCAGACTCCGTGATGTGACTGCAGGATAAAAAAAGAAAAAACCTCACCTCGGTTTCGATGGACCTGGTAATGGCATTATACATACCTTGATAAATCGTTGGCTTGACATAGCCATTCTTGTCGCAAATTCCCCATATAATGGCTACTTCCCACGCAGCAAAATTACTGAGGCCGAGCTCTGTAAACTTTCCCTGTCGGTACAGTGCGTCGCAAGCTTTTAATGTCTCCTCGAATGGAACTGATCGATCTGGGGCGTGTAAATAAAACACGCGAAGCTTTGGCACATTGAGGGCATCCAAACTCTTATCCAGAGTCGCTCTGAGGCGGTCTGGCTTGTGATCACCCGGTTTCTGGTCGATGGAAACATGGTAACGATAAGATGAGGGATCGAACAATTTGTATATCATAGTACACGCGTAGACATACCACTGGGAAGCATTTGGAATCGATCGACAACCCCGAACAATCTAACTTGGAAAGCATCTCTTCGGTGGTCCCATCGCCATCTATCATAGGACAGGTTGAGCGGTGAGAACCAGTACATGGGACGAAGTTGAATTGGTAAGCTCACAGAGTCTTGCTGTGTCTAACTCAGTATGCCCATGCGACCTGAACACATCAATGACTTTTTGAGCCGTACCCAAGTCATGTATCCTGCCAAAGTGTGAATATCGATACCAGACGAAGCGTTGTCAGGGTGCGAGGGGCTTAGAGTGATTCTGAGCGACCTGACCTTGAGCCAAACGCGCCCTCATTCCCGATTGTCATAGTCCTTGAGAGAGCGATGAAATAGGTACCAACAGATTGAGTGTTGATCAGCTAAATGATGTGACATTCAACGTACCCCATGATCAAAGGTATCCTCGTTTTCTGCGTACTCGCCATTCCTCTGTCTGTGAGCATAACTGCTGTGTTAACTTCAAGAGTCAGGATTTGGACAGTTTTCTATGTGGAGGGGGGTGAGACGGTAGGTGACGGTTTGATCAAATGTGTGGGGTCATGAACAGCTTGTCGAAGTGAACGATATATAACTGATTGTATGCCTATGACGTCAATTCGAGGATAAGATGTAAAAACCGGTCCTGAGACTTGGACTTGTGTTTGACGGAGGCGGAAGTAGCGGCCTCTGGGAGATTGCTGGCAGCCGGCTGCTGGCACTGGCACTGGCAGTGCCAGTCACTCAAAGCCCATGAAAGTATGGCTTCCAAAACCTTTCCCGCGTTGAATCTCGTATGGTGTCCACTCACATGACATACCCACTACACATGTGGTGATAAACAATATCACATTTCACCAATACCGCACCAAGCCTATTCATCCAACAAAATCGAGTCTACCCATCACTAACCAAGACTGACAAGTCATGCTCATACCCGCTATGTTCGCTCCGCTCGCAATTGTCGCACTGAAGACCCAGTCTCATCTTTGGAGACCACTGTCCCGACAACTTTGGTGTGACTTTCTTGAAGGCGGGTGCTCACTGTAGAAGAGATCAAGGTTAGCTATCTTTGATTTGCCTTCTGAGACGAGGATTTCAACTGAGTTATGTGTTGCCCTTTTTTTTCTCGTGACCTGGTTGATCGCTGGGCATACGGAGCTAAGGTCCTTTACAAAGCTGGGGCTCATGGTGCTCAACTTCATTGCGCACACGGATATCTATTATGTATGCCTACTCGCCACCGGAAGAAACAATTATAGTCTTTTGACCGATTAATCTTGGTCTATTACATATGTCTACCAAGCTTGATAATAATCCTACCACATTTTAATTTTATATTACTTTCTGATAAAATTGATGATGTACCTGAGTTTTGATCAATTTGATTCCATAAGATTTTGATTTTTCATCTGGTTTTGAGTGATCTCGTACTTGAGTTTACTGTTTGCTTCAGTTTTTTTTCAAAAGACCAGTGCGAGAATGCTGGGAGCAACTGGTGTATTAGTCAAGATAGATGATGGTGGTGAGGGGGAATCGTCCTGGCTATACTTCTCCCGAGAGCCTTCAACCAGCTCTTATGTGATGGGGGTTTCAGGGCGCATGTGGTGCGAGTGAAGTTGTTGTGCAATTGATTTGGAGGGATTTCACGGAGGGGTGAAATCTTGGGGAAAGGGGTAAGTACCTGGCACTGGCAGTAGTGCCAGTAATCTCCCGAAGGCCGGGTGTTCCCGACGGAGGAGAGCTGGTGCTTGGTCGTTATGGGTATAGGCGGGTCCATGTTTGACTCCACGATTTTACGTGCAGCGCTTCTTTCCAAATTCCATCACACTGACGGTCACATGCCAGATCAGACCAGATCACTCTCGTTTCGCTTCCTGCACATCAAATCACACATCGATGTCACCCCAGCCCAAGACGTCCGCTTCAATGTGGAAAGACCAGGTTGGTTAAAATCCGATTTTCACGCCTTCGCTCGCGAAGCTATTAGGCTTACTCCTGAACCATTTGGCACGCGGCTTGGTCAAATGAATCGGTCAATAGGGAAATGCCGCCTTTAAAAGCGCGAAATATGAACTTGCCATCGAACACTACACAGCCGCGATGAAGTCGGATCCTTCAGATCATGTGTTGCCGTGTAATAGAGCTATGGCTCGTTTGAAGCTGGAGCAGTATGTCAACCTTGGTTTCCTAAGCCGACGAAATATGCCTGTGCACCTAAATTGACCACTTGGTCGGGACACTCCAGATGGAAATTGGCAGAACAGGATGGCTCTCGATCATTGAATTTACTGCCTACTCCCAATTGTAAAGCTCACTTTCGCCGTGGTCTTGCAAGGAAAGGCATGAAGAGGTGGGCAGAGGCAAAACAAGGTGAGAGGCGCTGAATGTCAGGACGCAAACATCATTATTCATATCTTGACTAACCATGGCCAACTTCCTCCGTTTCGGTAACCAGATTTCGAGGCTGCTTATACGATTGAGCCATCCAATGCAAGTATCGCAACCGAACTAGCATTCGTAAAGTCCCAACTTGAACCCACAGCCACAGATGTAAGATTGTGGGATGATATCTCTCACTATAACCTTCGCAAGCTGATGAAAATCGGCAACGCATCATGTCGCATTAGCCAGACCCTTCAAGTCGAGGTAAAGTTGTGGGTCCCTCATCCAATCCTACGCCATCTTCGCTTAGCTCTTCGTCAAGTTGTCCCCCCATCTCAGTCACATCTACATCCCTTGACGAACCATCTACATCTTCAATCTCACAAACTTCAGCTCTCCTCGGTCAATCGACTCAAATCCTAAATGGAGATTCGCCCGGGCTGAATCTGATTCGTGAGGTGTCTACCAGGCGGTTTGACCCCTCAAAAAAGTCTGAAAAGGCTTCTGAAACACCGACATCTACACTGAATTCTTTCAGTACCCTCAAAGATATCCGAAAGAAGAAAGAAAATGGAGGGTACTCTTTTACAAAGCGAGACGATGCCAATGTTTCATTCACTGCGAGCTCTTCTCCGAAGGCAACCAAGACTAGCTTACCGATGGTACGGGATGACATCAGAACGACATCACAGACAGCGTTCCCCCCTTCATCGCCCGTTTACTCATTTTCTGAACTAGAGCGCCAGTGGGGAATGTCCGCTCGGCCTGATGCTCGCTGGTGTATTCTCAAAGTTCGTTTGTCGGCTATGAACTTCCTGGGATCATTCGAGAAACATCATTCACTGATATTGTAACATTTTCTTGTGGTATAGGGCATACACGCCGCACATTTACCTACTATCTTCGGTGAGCATTTGGAACCAAACTTCCTTGATCAGATGATCGAAGCGTTTGAGGTACCACAGAGGTGCGTATTTTCTACTCCACTTGTATTTTCAGCAACGTTGGGGCTGAGCCGATTTTCTGGCTACGATGGGACTCAGATCGGGGACTCAACCAGACTTGGCGCAAGCAGCAAGGTTAATAGAAGGATTAAACGGTGTTTCAAGATTGAAAACTTTAACCATGTTCCTCACCTCAGAGCAAAAGGAAGGTCAGTTGGAACCCATATCCTGACATATGATACCTTGCTTTACATGAGTTGTATTCTGAGTTAATCGAGTTTCTGTACTGCTCCCTATCGACAACCTCCAGTGATTAAAGAACTACTCGCAAGGTATGAAAGCATTGGTCCCGAAAAGCAAAACATTTCATTGTCCAATTGGGATTTGTGACTCTGAGTAGTTCTCACAATTGACCATGGTTTTACTTGTAATTTGCGCGTGAACGAGTACCTACCGAGTAGTTGAAGATGAGAAACTTCAGGGCTTTGGCTTATAGTTTCTCAATATATCCACCTAGACTCGCGCAGTTAGCTAGTTGGTGTCTAACCGACTCAGATTGGACTAGACTTGATTTGGGGCTTGCAGACTCTCGGCAAAGGAGAACGGATATGCCTGACATACATCTAAGCCTCAAAGGACGTCCGACTACCCATCATGGAGTAGGCTGGTAAAGTTTCTCCTTGCACAAGATTGTCATGGCAAGCAGCTACGTATATACACTATACTCAGATTGCGATATGTTGAACGTTCAGAAGCATTTGACGCCATTTCAACATAGGGTTGCATAAGCATTGAAGAGATCATATAATTATTTGTGCTGGGAAGATTTAATTTCGTGACTGATGAGAGGTGCATTGATAGAACAATGATAAGCTAATAATGTTAATGCATATGACGCGCTTCTTGAACATTGCTATCATTTATTACCCTTTTCCCCCAATTTTATGAATCCATTGGATGACCATAAACTTATACACTTCAATCCTCTCCTAAAGTCTTTCCTTTCATTGTGTTAAGGGATCTGATGAGAAGTATGTTGACCTATGTTGACGACCAAAGTAGACGACAGACGCAAGTTCGAAGAAACTCGAAAAACAAGTACCCCAATGATTTCTCAGCTGACACTGTCGCGATGTCATCATTGTGCTCATATCCGCAGACATCGCGCATTAGCCCCGAATGGGGTCTCGAAAGACGTGGGCTTTCCTGAAAGCAAAGGTTTGTTTGTGCCGCAGATTTCCATGAACTCTCGCTTGGGCGCCCTGCCGTGGTTTGGCCGTCGATTCAGGTCGAACACAACAGGCTTCATAAGGGATGCTCTCATCTCCGAAAAACGATCACCCATGGGTTTGGCTTTGTCCTTCTGATGTAATTGACTAGGGTAGTTGAATCTGATTTTCGATGATGTTTGATACCCAGCTGAGTCTTTACCTGGGCTATCTAGTCTTCTTCTCTTGTCATTTCGCCCCATCTGGGGAGAGCCGATATCGCAATCTGGTCGGAGGGGTGATCTCTTGCCGCGAGTTATCGCTGGCTTCAGAGGAGTGGATGTCCAAAAAGGACCGTCTTCCAGGGACATTGATTCGAATGAACGCAATGGGCTCGGCAGTGACTCGAATTCAGCTAGTCTTCCTTTACGTTTTAACTGGGACGCGTGGCGGGTCAGTCCATAGTCTTGCAGAGGAGAACAATCAAAATCGATGTGCTCCAACTTCGGATTAGATTGCAGATGATTACGAGAGGTCCCTGCCCGTTGGTTTAGAGTGCCGAGAGAGCGACGGGGGGCGACGGCGTCCCATATCAATTTATGACCTCTACCTGCACATCGAATGGGAAGACGCTTGGGTCTATGGCGGGGTGGTGGTGTGGTGAACTCATCGTAAACGCGAATTGCCATAGCTAGTGCTCCTCTATAGACATCATGACAACATTGATAGTTTTTTGTCAGGCTTAATATCTTCACAGGAAAAAAATCAAGGGGAGTGAAGAAGATTACGTGCCGTTAGCTTGCACTTATCGCAGAACACTAAGAAGTTCGCTTCAGAGCAGGACTTCGAATAAAAGAAGATACAAAATTTAATCGGTTGAATGCAGTGAAGGCTGAGGATTCTGGAAACCCCATCCAAGATTCCACAATTTGTACTATAATATGGCCAGATCTCCTCTACCTCCGATTCCGATGGGCGGATGGATATGAGAATTAGTACATGCGCAGACAAGTCCCGGACATGAAGCAGTTCGTCTAGCCAACCAGTTGTCGTAAGAGACTCTTGACCAATGTCCGTGGTTTCAAGGGTTTCGCTCTGCAGCTTATCGGAAATTGTTAAACTTTGGATTTTATCACTCCTCAGTGAGATTTCGAAAATACGAAACGCAATGATCCAGCAATCACATTCGTGCCATCAGACTGTTCCAGGGGACTCGGGGCGATTGACTTCATTAGATTGCCCAGCTGTCCGCTACCTTCACAGCTCGAATATCTCGTGCACTCAGGAGGAGCTTCAGAAAACGTGAGCTTTCTTGCTTCTTGTGCCGAGTAAGAACATTTCTAATTCGTATGAAACGCACGGTGTGCTTCGTTGCTCGTCTGCGCTGATCCAATTCTGGTGGCAGCCATTTTTCATCAACCTCAACTGATAGTACTGACAAGAATCAATCACGGATCTCGATGTGCCTGCGAGCCACGTCACTTACGACGAATCAGTTCATCAAGACTTTGAAGAGCACCTTCCAAATTGCCAATTGCCTCCATATGCTTGCCGCAGGAAATTTTGCGCGTGCAGCAATAGACAGTGCTATGAGATGTCAAAGGGCTTCTGATGGTCAAATAGGGTTTTCAAGTGTTCAAATGGAGTAGTTGTTGTTATCAAGTAGCGCTTCCTGTGATCTTGAACTACTGCTGGAAGGAGGGAATTTCGAGCCGAAAAGGACGCGGGTGTGAAACATATCCGATCCGCGACACCTCACAATCTCGGATAATGGGAAGCTCAAATCCATCAGCTCAGCTTTTGAGAAACCAACAAGCTCAAAAGTTTTCCGCTTGACTCTACATACATATCAGTCTGACGCCTCCACTCGAGTCCCTCACCTGTAATTCGAATTAAATCTTGGGATCACAGAGACTTATCCGACATCGCAGCTTGACCCTCTGACCGAACTTCAATCATCGACCGAGCTGGATCAGCGACATGCCTCAGACAGTCAATTCTCTGTGGGCGAGTTGGGTTCAAAAAGCGGCGAACGATGCTGTCGCCAATGGACGAAGGGAGGCTGATTCATATAAGGGAGCTGCTAGGGCGATTGGGGCACATCATATCAAGCTCGTACACCCTTCAGAGGCATTGGCACTGAAAGGTGTTGGACCTAAGACTGTAGCCATCATTGCTTCACGTTTGCGAGACTATTGCGAAGAAAACAACCTGGAATTCCCGGCTACACGTGAGCGAACAAATCATCATTCTCATTTTTGCTTCGTCCTCGCGCTGATCCTATCTTGATCAGCTCCCCGAGCAAATGCAGGCCGCCAAAAACGCGCGATATCAAATGGAGCCCCTGCTCCATCCGCCAAACGAACGGCAGCCGCACCAGGCCGCCGGAGCAACCCATACGCGCTGACTGCTGAAGAGATGGCTTTGGATGATGATTCAGAAGATGATAACCCTCTACCGAGTTGTTCTACTAAATCCGCTACTCGCAATCGATTTCCATCCGCCAAACGAACGGCAGCCGCACTAGGCCGCCGGAGCAACCCATACGCGCTAACTGCTGAGGAGATGGCTTTGGATGATGATTCAGAAGATGAAAACCCTTTAGCGAGTTGCTCTACTAACTCCGCTGCTCGCAATCGATTGTCCGATGCCAATCCCCGATCCAAATCACGGACTAGAAAAGAATACATACCTGGGTCCCGGACAGGCGGGTGGGGGATTCTTATTGCTTTGTATTTTGCTCATGATGACGCTTTCCCTTCAAATGATCTTACCAAGGAAGAAATCATTCAGACCGCTCAAGAATTTTGTGATTCAAGCTATACAATACCAGCAGCTAGAGGAGGAGGGGCTGGCAATAGCGGTAATTTTACAGCCTGGTCGAATATGTCAGTGTTGTACTCGTTGCCCTCGTCTGATAACTCCTTGTCAACTTGAAGCGCTGAAACCTATCTCATTGTGACGTTCCAGGAAGAAATTGAAGGAGGAAGGCTTGGTACTCGGTCTCAATGGACGGCCAGCCAAGTGGACTCTAACACGGCAAGGCCTAACCCTGGCACGTGCGGTAGCTCGACAAGCAGCACTTCCTCAGCTTGAGATCAATGAGGAGACTTTACCCATTGGTCCACAACGTGCACCTCTTTCACCGCATACTTCGAGCCAATCTATGGCCGGGAGTTGTCAAAATAGAAAGTCGCAAGTCGAATCAGTAGGTCCAGCTAGCCAGAATTTGGATCGTGCCACTCCTCAAAGCCGTTCTGCACCTCCAGCGCGTGTCGGAAGTGGGATAAGTTGCTCGAATGCTGGGTCCGATCCAAATGACGCACGATTCAGCTTCACTTATCTTGATCCGGGTAAGGGCTATTACCTTATGTGAATGTTATAAATCTGTATGCATATATAACGACCAGTTTTACTGAATATTCTCCTTGTGTTGATCAATCGAAAGAATCTCGTCATGTTCGGTCACGCGGTGAAGCAGACACCAAGATGGATGCGAAGACTTTTGATACCCTGTATAAAGTGGAATTTCCGCAAAGCCAATCCTCACACCAGTTCAAACGCAACGCAATTATCGAGGATTTCATCGCTGAACCGAACTTGCGCCCACCCACCAGAATCGGTTGGATGTTCAGCAGTAAAGCGGTTCCGACATGTCCAGGCTTACCGATATCGAAAGCGGCATCGGAGGTCCCGAAGTCATATCCATCGACCAGCGCCAGTGTTTTACCTAGGGTGAATACATCACATATGGACACTGCAACTTGTCCTGCGCTGGCAACTCGTGTTGCGCCCCAACCTCCTGTATCTCGCTTTGAAAAGATGGCCCAAGCAGCCGAAGCAAGACTTCGGGCGACTGACTCATGTGTCCAGCCGTTGTTCCGGCTTCCCAGCGCTATCGATTTTTCATCATCTCCAGCGGGCGCTACTGCCCCAGGCAAGTGGTTTTTGCATGTATATACAACTCTTCCGATCCCCTTTTCTAACGTACGTTACTGCGGGAGTTAGATCCATCCGGATCGAGTTCAACTCGATCTCAGTTTTTCGATCGAATAAACCCTCAAGAGTGGCAAGCTGGGACGTATGACATTCGCCTGCTACTGGATCATCGAGAATTGAAGTCCACTGACGACCGGTCAGCTTTCTTCGACCTATGTCAAGCGGAGGCTCTAAAGCTGGCAAATAGAAAGGAGGCTGCAATCGTGGTAGAGCAACGCGTACTTCCTGTTGGAGATGCTCTCTGGATTGCTGTTCACAAAGTGACTGGAGAAGAGGTGGTTCTGGATAGTATAGTCGAACGCAAGCGACTTGATGATCTCTGTACCAGCATTCACGATGATCGCTATCACGAGCAAAAGGTACTTGATCGTTTTGATCTCACCAAACGACCGTACTCGTCTTATAGATATGCCTTGGAATCTTGATGCAAGGACCTGGTTGCCTGACACCGTAAACTCGTTTGTTCTCCTCGCTCCTATAGGCACGCTTGAAAAAGTCGGGATTGAAAGACATCATCTATCTCGTTGAGAACTATAATCAAAAAGCCAATCAAGTTAAATTCGGACAGATGATACAGACGGCAAAAGCGGAAGTCATGGTATTGAATGATTGTCACTTGGAATTGACAGATGACTGGAGGGCGTCCGTGAGATATCTGATCATGCGAAGTCGCGTGATCTTTGAAGTTCATCAAGTAAGCCTACTCAACTATATTTTAGGACTGCTTGAAATGTCTAACGGAGCATTCATTCTCTACTCTCATGACGTCCAGAACCTCGATCTTTGGGTGATTCCAGATGATAAGATCGACAGAGCTTCATATCTTTCAACCTTGAGCACTCTTCGCAAATCACACCCCAGTCATTACTGGGTATCATCCTACCCCTCCTTTGAGAAACTCAACGACAAGTCAGCCAATCTGAATGTTCGTCAGATCTGGGCGCGTATGGCTTTTTGCATCAGTGGAATGAGTGCTGAAAAGGTAGATAGCCTTGTTAAGCGCTGGGAATCTCCCAGGACATTTTGGGATGCCTATAAGGAACATCGGATTTCTTCATCAACCCAGGTACAGGAATGGAGTTGGATCCAAGATGCAAATGAGTCCGAGTTCCGGCGGATTACACCCAGTCTGTGCAAAAAGATTTGGGATATTTTTAATTCATCAGAATATGATGCACAGGATGGAGTCTGATGATTGTAGGTGTCACCCGACATCTTGTGTTTTCACTATGGTGGTATATTCTCTACTTTTTGATCAGACTTATACCAACTTGCAGATACTACAAGATATCAAGCTGTGAAACATTTCTTCTTAATACTTCCAAAATACTCTTGTGCCTTACTAGATATCATCGTTATGTTAAACTCTGGCCTCCGGAGACACCTAGACAGGGCAGAACATATGTGAAGGAAATCGAACCATTTAAGTGGAGGTCACATCAAGATCCAATACTCTCCAACCAAAGAGTACAATGCCAATGGCAAGAGAACTGACCGAGATAATTTCCTAGTATGTTGATAAGAACTTGGAAAGCGTGACGAAAAAGGAAATGACAAGGAGTGTAAACTGGAGTCGTTGCAACGAGTTAGTTCTCCAAATCATCGGACAGCTACATATGCTCGTTATACCCAGTAAACAAGAGATGCAGCATAACAAGTTCCATATGCCGCTCATGTATCGGGCCAAATGCACCTTTGGACGTCTCCGGATGACTTTCACGGCGAGTTGGAGGTCGATGAATAAGTCACAATTCATGGGTAAGTACATCTTTTGCATGGTCGACTTCAATTGGTCAGGATCTTGATGCGTTACAAATCCCCCCATGTGGAATCTTGACATCGACCGAAGGTGATCACCGGTGTGATCGACTTGATTATACGAACTGCCACTTCTCCTCTGAAGTTGGTTGCGTCGCAACGCGGCAACCAGCTTGTAAGGGCGACTCCGCTGTCAACCGTTTCAGGTCATTGATTACAACCTCATATCCGAATGACGTGTGCTCTGCGAGCATGAAGTGTGCATTCAACTCTTTAGATGGCAGGTATCGAGCATCGAGGGACCTGTGGTTAAACAAGTTTGCAACTTATTGTGAGAGCACAATCGTTAATCTATTCCCACATCAACGGGATTGCAAAGTTTCTCGGAATGATGCACCTCTGACCAATCAGACGGATCAATCAGGCGTTGTGAGCATCTTGGATTCATTATGAAGTTTAGAGGCGATGGGCCTCCTAAGGAATTCACGTGGTGAAGGTTTGTTATAAGTGGTCTTGAGACGATCCTCATAAAAGACCGCAGTGTGCCCAAATCGTCCTATCACTACCTAAGGACATTCCAAAACTTCAAACGCCTGTGACTTTTCCACCATTACAAATTATCCCTGTGACTTTTCCACCATTACAAATTATCGTACGATGTTGATCATCTTTAAATCATTATGTTTATTTGGTAAGTGTCGTAAATAAACAAAACCCAGGGGTAGCTAGTCAGCTGATCGTAACACGAATTGAATAGGTATCATTATCGGAGACATGAAAGCATTGTCAAAAGAAGACCTCGCCACCCGGTATGACCAAAAAATTCTGGCTTCTCTGCTACTACGATTTTCACCCAGCTCTAACCTAGTCTTGATGACTTTTTGAATTGTGTTTACATGTTCATTTGCCTCGTTCATTAGATCTGAATCAGCACTTCTTACCCGGTCGAGTGAGTGGGGTATGTCAATCGATACAAAACGCCTCAGACGAAGAACATTCGGTAAACATGGTAAGAATTTTCATCTTAGATCAAGAATCTGGGCTTGTGCAAAAGCTGATGTGCCATGCACGGTATGTAATTTGAAGGTAAGGGTCATGGCGGTGGACATGGTCATGGCGGTGGTCTCGGCCATGGCAACTGCGGCCCCTCGAAATTGAAAGGCTTCGGAGCAGGCATGAGACCGGGGGCAGGAATGGGTGGGGGAAAACCCTCACACTTTGGTGGTGGCAGTCATGGACATGGACGACATGGAAAACATGGACGACATGGTCACGGTCACGGTCACGGTCACGGTCACGGTGGTAGTCTTGGCCGTGGCGACTGTGATTTCTGCAAGTCAAAAGGCTTTGGCGCAGGCATAAGACCTGGAGCCGAAACGGGTAAAGGGAGACCACAGCCGGGTGGAGGTATGGGTGGAGTGATGGGTAGTGGTATGGGTATAGATACAGACACGGATATGGGCAGTAGTATAGGTGCAGGTATGGGAAATATTGGTGGCCCAATAATGGTGGGCCCACCAGGCTTTGTAGGCTCTGGGGACTCCCCTGAGGACTTTGGAATGCCAGATAGCAATAACAATAGTGGACCTCATTCTGGAGGTGGAGACTTTCAAGATATCAAAAAACCACAAGCTGGTCCTGACGTAGAGACAAAGTCTAAACCACACAGAGCCGCAGGCAAACCGGGCAAGACAACCAAAGTCACTGTGAACAAAAAGCGACCAGGCTCTGGGGACTTGGTGGAGAGCCCAGAAGAGTATGAAATGCCAGAAGACCAAAAGCCTAGTGGAGCTGAGATCTCTAAGGGTCCAGGTGGTAAAATCTCAAGTGAGTCCCATTCCAAATTTGTGGTTTCCAATTTTACAACATGTGTATCACAATGGATTTCACAGTCCTTCTGGTTTTCTATAACTCTGAAATTTCTGGTGAAGCTCTATTTGGAGGTGCAGATTTACAGCCAATCAATCAAACACCCTCTGGTCCTGATGTAGAGACAAAGTCTAAACCACACAGAGCCGCAGGCAAACCAGGCAAGACAACCAAAATCATTGTGAACAAAAAGGGACCAGGCTCTGGGGACTTGATGGAGAGCCCAGAAGAGTATGAAATGCCAGAAGACCAAAAGCCTAGTGGAGCTGAGATCTCTAAGACTAAGGGTCCAGGTGGTAAAATCTCAAGTGAGTCCAATTCCAGATTTTTGGTTTCCAATTTTACAACATGTGTATCACAATGGATTTCACGGTCCTTCCAGATTTGGTGGTCTTCTGACTAATCATACCAATGTTTCTGGTGAAGCTCTATTTGGAGGTGCAGATTTACAGCCAATCAATCAAACACCCTCTGGTCCTGATGTAGAGACAAAGTCTAAACCACACAGAGCCGCAGGCAAACCAGGCAAGACAACCAAAGTCATTGTGAACAAAAAGGGACCAGGCTCTGGGGACTTGATGGAGAGCCCAGAAGAGTATGAAATGCCAGAAGACCAAAAGCCTAGTGGAGCTGAGATCTCTAATGGTCCAGGTGGTAAAATCTCAAGTGAGTCCCATTCCAAATTTGTGGTTTCCAATTTTACAACATGTGTATCACAATGGATTTCACGGTCCTTTCAGATTTGGTGGTCTTCTGACTAATCATACCAATGTTTCTGGTGAAGCTCAATTTGGAGATGGAGATTTACAGCCAATCAAGCAAACACCATCTGGTCCTGATGTAGAATCAAAGGCCAAGCCACATGGAGCTGGGAGAAAACCAGTTAACAAGACTAAAAGTGATATGGAACATGCCACTGGTGATCAAGATTCAGATCAAAGCTCAAAAATTTCAGGCACTCCTGGATCTCAGATATCTGCAAGTGAAACTGCATTTGGTCCAAGTAAAGAAAGTGTTTCCACCTATGAGCATTCTTATTCTTACTCAACAGTTGAAGCCACCCCGGAATCTAGTCAAGGAAATGGTGATGGATCTACTACACCTTGTCTGCCATGTGAATCTGCATAGACTGTTTTTGAGACATCCCTGAGAGGATGAGGCTGTATAAATGTTTGGTGTCTATATTTCATTGGGATTTAATCTGCTGGTTTGAAAAATCCATATTCGTCATTGACAATTGTTTTGAAATTGTGATAATTGTAAATACACACTGTTTCTCAGATGGAGTAATTGAAGGTACCATTGCATGATAAGCTAGCCCGCCAAAATATGGGAGAAAAGAAGGAAAGGAAAAAATTGATTGGACAGTGCTTCATTGAAACATCCCATAGTGCCATTTGATTTTAGTGAATGAGGAGCTTCCATGGAGTATCAGATTGTAAGGTGTAAGGACTTGAATGGCTTGCTGAGAGGCAAGAGGTAGAATTCAAGGGTGTTACTTATGATGAGATAGATTGCTAAGTTAGGAGTATAGCATCTACTTTTTATGGCATGGAGAACTGGATAATATAAGGATGAGAGCTTTATGAAGCACAAAGTGTTCTCAGCAACGTATGAAGAACACGAGTCAAGTAAAGATAAAGTACCTTTATGAAGCACAAAGTGTTCTCAGCAACGTATGAAGAACACGAGTCAAGTAAAGATAAAGTACCTGATGGTACGAGAAAAACAATAGATAAGAATGGATCACTTTAGTAGGAACATTAGTATAATAAACAAACCTTTATGAAGCACGAAGTGTTCTCAGCAACGTATGAAGAACACGAGTCAAGTAAAGATAAAGTACCTGATGGTACGAGAAAAACAATAGATAAGAATGGATGAAGAAAAAGGAAAACATAGCAGAGAAAACATTCATTCTTATATGAGTAGAATCTCGTACATCCTTGGTACAAGAAATGGAATGAAGAAGGAAGCAAAAGAGACAACATCATAAGATAATTGATTATGATGTCATGACTAGAAGAGGAACAATAACAATTAAATAATTAAATATCTTTATAGATAACTCAGTATAAAAACATATGTAGATAGTCTTATACTATGAGATTCTCAATATGGATCATAACACAAAGAAGATCAGATACCTGTGTGCTTAATCTTATACATATACTGCTCCAAATACTTGGGTACATGTCTGTACATGTTTTGATCAGTCAGCTTTGAGATAAGCAAAAGGATCAATGCAGGGATTTTACAAGACTTAGAAAATGTAACTGACTATTACAGGTTGGAGATCCATAAGACTGAATAAGCCATCTAATTTGACTATTGAATTCATGGACAAGTCTTTGAAAAAACTGGTGTTTTTGACCCTCTTTTCCCCATAAGAAGTCAGATGCCTGAAGACTCAATGGGCAGATTTAAGTGGGCGCACAGCTCTTTTCTTTGGTCCAAGGACATTTGTTTTCAGGATACAAAGATATGAAGTGTTGAATCAGTCCCCAGCCAAACGCTTCCGGCTCATACGCCAAAGAGGTGGTATAAGGTCTAAGACCCTCTTTTGACTACTTGTTTGTCTGAGAGGGACTTGTTAAGTTAGAGCACAGAGGTAGTTGATTAATCCCTTTTCAAGACTCTCAGCCATCTTGTCATACAAGCTAGGCTTAGCATCATTGTACCCTGACCCAGCCATTATCCCAGGCTCAAGCCTTCTTGGTTGGAGAACCATTTGCTGGCCCTGGTTGGTCAACCATTTACAACGGTTTGTGGTGTAGATAACTACTTGTGTGTGTAAAAATTTTCAGATAAAAGGAGGGAACTATCACCACATGTAGTGTTTCCAAGCTACAAGATGACTGTTTACCTCATTGCTATCATTTCAAATCTTACTTTTTATACATGCTAGTACAATATGTCAAAGCAGCAAATGATGTAGTTCAGAAACAGCACCTCACTAACCATCAAATTCTAAAAATATGAGTTAACTCACCTTTCACCCAAGAAGAATTAGAATATCTTGGCTAAAGAAGGTGGACTTGATCTCTGCTGCTCTTTGACGTTTAACATCATTTTTCTTAGTGGCACATAGGTCAGACATGATGACAATGAGTTTTCAATATAACAACATAACAGGCACTACACATGTTAATGATAGCAAATGCAATATGAAACAATAACTATACAGTAAAGTTTCAACCTTATGATGTAAGAAAATGAGGTGTTCACGCTTGACGCTGTGAACCTAGGACAGAAACGAGTGCTAAACTCGACAAACCTTTAAAAAGGTTTAACAAAACTATCAGCCCGTGTTGACAAGACACGCTGAGGCAACTAAAACGGACAAGTGCTAAACTCGACAAACCTTTAAAAAGGTTTAACAAAACTATCAGCCCGTGTTGACAAGACACGCTGAGGCAACTAAAACGGACAAGTGCTAAACTCAACAAACCTGGAAGGGAACAGGGAGGATTATGAAACTGAAGTTTAGAATCTTTTTCCTTGATGAGGGAAAATGAGAAGCTACAGCAACATACAACACACCTTTAAAAAGGTTTAACAAAACTATCAGCCCGTGTTGACAAGACACGCTGAGGCAACTAAAACGGACGAGTGCTAAACTCGACAAACCTTTAAAAAGGTTTAACAAAACTATCAGCCCGTGTTGACAAGACACGCTGAGGCAACTAAAACGGACGAGTGCTAAACTCGACAAACCTGGAAGGGAACAGGGAGGATTATGAAACTGAAGTTTAGAATCTTTTTCCTTGATGAGGGAAAATGAGAAGCTACAGCAACATACAACACACCTTTAAAAAGGTTTAACAAAACTATCAGCCCGTGTTGACAAGACACGCTGAGGCAACTAAAACGGACGAGTGCTAAACTCGACAAACCTGGAAGGGAACAGGGAGGATTATGAAACTGAACTAAATGAGAGAGAATTTTGAAGTGAAAGAGATGATAGAGATGATAAAGGAAAACAAATAATCATAGTAAGGTGGTTCAGTAGAATTCTTAGTATTTTGATAAAAGAAAAAGTTTAATTGATAACTCACGTTTAGAATCTTTTTCCTTGATGAGGGAAAAAGTTCTAAATGTGAAGAGAGGCAAGATTATAAGAGAAAATGTCACAAAGATAATTTTGGGATTTAAACATCATGTCCACATCCTTATTCAGTTTAACTCAACTACAATCCCAATCCGGCGAGACCCTCTATATCTTCCTCATCACACCTAGTTCATAAATCCCATTTTGTCAAGACATTCTAACATTTCTTCCACCTAACCTTGTACCTTGACACTGATTGAATATGTTTCAATTTGAATCCTCCTTGCTACACTCCTTTCTGTCAACGCTACACACAGTCAATACTTTTGACTCCATAACCGTCATTGGTTTTGACCCAATCATGATTTACTCCAACATATGAAATGTGATTTGTTACAGGAATGAAACTATAATTTAACAGATTCACCTTCTGGTTTATATCTTGAATTCATTTCACTTGTGTATGCAATCATAAAACCTACTTATGTACGCCAATTCATAGCAGTACCCGTATCACTATGTCAATACCGGAATCGCTCCGCTCCGCTCTCAATTTTGGCCCTTTGAGGCAGCGGAGCGGAGCCTCCGCCCCGAAAGGATCGCTCCGCTATTGCTTTTTTTGGGCAAAAAAATCTCATTCAAGAGCGGAGCAATTTCTACGCTCTAAATCGCTCCGCTCTTCGCTTTATAGCGATTTTGAAGGGCAGAAAAAGAAAAAAAATTGTATTTTGAATCAATGTGTACTTGGTTGAGCCTATAGGGCCGGGCTAAGTAAGAGAAAAGAGAGAACAGACAAGAAGAAAAAAAAGAAATGAGAAAAGGAAACTGGAAAACAAAACTTCCAAGGAAAAATTTGATTTAAATTGAGAACATCTAGCGTTTTTTCTTAGTTGATCTTTGTATGTATTCTTGAAGAGCTTTTGCAGAAGCTTCAAAAGGGCCGTCAGGTATGATCCCTTCTTTCAACCACGCCTGAGATCCCACCAGGCGCTCCATCGTCTTGGGAAGCATGCTACCTCGTGACGGGGTACATACATCGGCAGCAGCGGAAAAGGTCCGCTCGCATGCACAGGAAGTGGCCAATATAGAGAGGTAGTCGCGGGCCAGTCTTGCAAGTACTGGGAAATGTTGATGATGGGCCTGTGAGCAAAGACAAAGCACAGTCAGAAATTAGGTGATGAGGCCATGTATATGAAAGAGAAGAAAAATTACCTCCCACCATTGGAGGGGGGTTTGGTCTGGATCCATTCGGTATCTTCCTTGAAGATAGTCGTCCAGTTCCGAAGATGCAACATCACCTTGATCACCGGTTGAGCCTCCAAACACATCGAACTCGTCAGGCTCCACATTCTTGCTGATTTCTTGAGTTGGTGGTGTAGGCTGGAGCTCTTCGCTTTCCGCCAAGAGTTTCTCGTACGCAGTGTCTAAGACAACACGGGCTGCAGCTTCAAAGTCTGGATAGTGCAGATTGAAGAATTTGCCTTGGAATCGAGGATTGAGCATGGTGGCGAGAGATATGGCGTCGGAGTTGGCAGCCTCGCATTGATATTCAGTAAGCCATTGTATCATTGTGTCAATTGCTTCGTTCAGACTTGGAAAGTTTGTGTTTTCGGCCTTGTGTTGCTGAAGCTCGTTGATGACGCGACAGTATTTGGCCAAGAGGATGCATCCTGTTGGACCATTGCCCTCAACTCGAGCGCTTGCATCCACGAATGTCTTCCAGAACGCAAGATCATGATCAGTAAGCTGATCATGAACGGAAGAATGAGATGAACAAAAGAGCAGTGGAAAACATACCTTCAAGACTTTGTTGACCAACTCCACAGCGTGCCATTCCGATGGCGAAATTGTAACTCCTTTGAAAAATTGGGCCTTACGATCGGCAGCCAGCATTGAGTTAATGACCTGACAAGTCAAAAGACATGATGAGGAATGAAGAGATAATTAAAAACATAATGAAGTAGGAAAAGTAAGTAAAATACACGTACTTCCTGTGCCTCACAGGCAACCTTCCGACTTTCATAATGACTGTTCCAACGAGTCTTGCAAGGACGTCGAAGCATCCGACCCTTGTAAC